TGTGTGTGTGTGTGTGTGTGTGTGTGTGTGTGTGTGTGTGTGTGTGTTTTGCTCGCATGTATATCTGTGTACCACATGTGTGCCTGGAACCCAGGGAGGCTAGAAGAGGGCACTGGAGCCCCTGGAACTGGAATTACATATGATAGTGTGCTGTCATGTGAGTACTGGGAATTGAACTCAGGTCGTCTTAAAGAATAGCCATTGCTCTTCACCGCCGAACCATTTCTCCAGTTGCTACTGCTTTATTTTTGTTAACTCTAAGTGAATTTGAGGTTCCCCCCTTACTTGTATTTAGTTAAGTCATCATCTGTACCTGTGGCATTGCCACCAATTAAAAATTGCATTCATCTCCATGTCACGTTACCGGTGCTACAGATATTTCAGAGTGCTATGCATACTTATCACTAATTAGAAAGTATACTAGTTACTAAGTGCACTGCTAGGGTCTCTTAGCTAATGTTAATAAAATCCCACATCCCATGGCATTGTGTCATAAATATGACTTTTAGTATTTGAAGATTATATTTAAATTCGATTCACTTTTTTCTTACTTTCTTTGAGAGCCTCTTACTCTTGCCTAGGCTGGCCTCAATCTTTTATCCCTTCTGCCCTAGCATCCAGAGTGCTAAGATTATAAGCACACAGCACCATGCCTTCTGTGGCTATCCTTTTATCTTATGTATTTTATGCATTAAACAACATTCTGAGAGGGAGTTAATCTGCTTCATCAAACTTCCAACAGATCCATGACACATAGTGGATACTATCTCCTGTACTAGATCCAGATTGCAATAATCTCCTCACTATTAGCAATCACACTCAATACGGCTGGCTGTGGTGGCATACATCTTTATTCCTAGCACTCAGCAAGCAGAGGCAGGCACTCTGAGTTTGACGTCAGCCTGGTCTACCGCCAGAGGTACACACTGAGGCCCCACTTTGTAAAACAAAGCAAAGCACAAAAGAAATACTCCTTAATAAATGAGAATGACCACCTCTAAATTAAACATTTCATGACTGTCTCTTATTCTGGCAGTGCGACCGTAGGTAGGTCTGCACCTCAGCTTCCTCTGAATACCAAAGAAAACTGAAGCCCATATGTTCACTGTCTTCTCTATCTCCTGAATCCTTTGGTTTCTCATATCTGCTTGCTCCCCAAACAAGGCATTTGTCAGATAACTGGCACTCTCTTTGCATGCATTAAAGCTAGTGCTGTGCATTGTCCTTTTATGAACAATTGTAATAAACTATCTGGTCCAGGCACGACCCATGAACTCATTAAAGAAAAGTGAACCGTGACAACTCCTCCACTCCCAGAGTTTACGGACTCAGTGTGTTTTCTTATCTAAGATCTCCAAACATACCAGATTCTTATCAATACAGTATGCAAACAAATAGGGCTATTTTCTGAATCCTCCTTGTTCCTTGTGCTAGAAATGGACCCGATGGGGTCTCTATCCTGCATATTTTAAACAGTAAGGCATAATGAAACTCAAACCCATCTTCGTGACCCCTGACTAAATACATACCTTTACCATCTGCTTGATGGCTTCCACAGATTCGTGTGCTGAAACATCAAACGCCTCAAAAGCTCCTTCAAAAGCCACAAAAATCCTCATCATGCAATTTCCTTCTCAAAAGTGGGGCAAATGTAACAAAACAAAAATCCTGTTTTCAGAGATAGCTGGAAAAATTCCCAGTTCTCAAAGACAAAAATTGATGGCCGGAGGCCACTGTCACTGTCTGTTCTCCATGACGACAGAAAGAACGCAAAGAGACACACTCGCCGTATCCCGGTGAGGGACAACCCAGACAGTGAGTGGCTCTCTGGAGGAAATGTTTCTCTCAGAAGACGGTCACAACTTCCACCTTGTTCTCAGATTACAGAAACCAGAACGCTGACAATGGCTGAGGCAAGTGTGAGCAAGCTTCTGACACGCAACGCAAAGATCCTACACACAAGTTGCACTTTGGTGATGGAGTTGCCATCCCCTGAGTCTTGAATTTACATTTAGTCAAGGACAGCCGGTCAAAGAACCCAAAGAATACAGTCTGCATTAGGGCACACTGGCGTGTGGCTAAGCAGATGGAGTTGATTTTGCTGAATAAGACGGCTTTGGAAATTCTCTGCAAATGTGCGCTGCATTCTAGTTTCCATAACAACTTTGTGTACTTGCTCTCTGGCAGTGTGTCTAATCCTGCCATGGGGTCCAGAACAATACCCACTCACACCAAGAAAACGAATGTGGCTTTTCCTTCCCATCCTCGCACAATAAAATCTGCTGCATCACAACACAATATAATTGATATTTCTTTGGGTCTCTGTGCTACTCGGAACAATCTGCCATTGTGATCTCTTTCTAGCCCACTTGACGTCAGTGGAATTCTTTTTCTTTCCCTTGTTGAAAAGAGATTCTTCTCTCATATCATACCTCCTGACCACAGTTTCCCCTCTCTCCACGCCTCCCAGCTTCCCCTGAATGAAAAAAAAGGAAAAGGAAAGGAAAGGAAAGAACATGGCCGACCGCTCCTAGGTGTGGTGGTGGAGAAAGTTTATTGTGGCTGAAAGCGAGAACACAGGCAGAGACAGGGACATCTGGAAGAGTTTACAGTGAACATGACCCTGACTGTGCTGGGCCACGTGGAAGAGGAGGAGGAGAAGGGGGAGGGGAGAGAGGGAACCAAGTGCAGCAACCAAGAGGGCAAAGATACAAAAAGGGTAAGTAACCAAAATAGCTGGACTGTACAGGGAAGAGCCAATGTGGAAGGGCAGCCCAGCCCCTGGACTAAAGTTTGGGGTAGAGACTAGGGTATGACCACCATACCCTGTGACAAGTAGGGACTAAGGAATGCTGGGAGAACCTGACAACCAAATCTGCTTTCCTATGTTAAATAGGCACACCTCAGCCGTGTGACCCAAAGTTTGAGACTTGAAGTCCTTCATTCTCCCTCTCCCCCAGATTCACTCCCCAATTGTTTCCTCTCCAGAAAAGAGCAGGCCTCCAAGAGATGACAGCCAAATAGGATAAACCAGATACAGTAAGACAAGGCTCACACTCATCCATAGCTCCAGATTCAGGGCTGATGCACATGGTGCACTTACACGCATACAAGCAAAACATTCACATATATAGAATACAAATAAATAAATAACAAGAGAAGTTTAGCCAGTTGCCACTAAATTTTCAGACCTACTGAGGTGAATACTTAGTGTACTGGTTTTCTCAGGTGCTGCCGCTTATAAAGTTTGCAAAAGGATCATGTACCTAATACTGCGGTTCAGCAGAACCGACAAGACCTTCCTCGACTGCAGAGCTTTCTCTCCTATTATTTCAGAATCTAGATTTTCGTTTTTGCTGAAGGTACTGTGCTTTCTGAAGCTAACTTGAACGAGGCAAATTCCCTTGTATTTAGCTATTTAAAACTCTTCTAATCGGAAGGAGAGCTGTGCTCACGCGAGACTGACAAATTTCACACGTTGGTGTCAGAATGATGGGTTTGAATAATTCGTATAATTTGGGAGGGCAGTCATACGTAAATAAAATATGATCAAATCAAAACTCAAGAAATTGCATTATTTGTCCCAGATTACACAGTAGACAGTTATTTGGTTCAGATTCGAAGCCCTCCTCATATCACAGTGGCTCTCATGAATCGTTTGGATTAAGTGCTCAGGCTGAAAAGTAGAACCCAGATCCAAGACAAACATGGTGGCAATTGCCTTTAATCCAGGCATTCAAGAGGCAGAGGCAGTCCTGGTCTACAAACCAAGTTCCAGGACAACCAGGGCTGTTACACAGAGAAACCCTGTCTCAAAAAACAAACAACAAAACAAAAAACAAAAGAAAAAAAAAGTAGTTGTAGAGCCCAGACTATTTGCTCCACTTCTCATGAACAGTGTGAGTAATTTCTTTGAGTCATGGCTCTGTACTCAAAACATCAAACAGAGCAATGGGACTGAGGCTGTTCAGAGAGCTCATGTGAAACCATAGAACAGTGTTGTTATGGATGCTATGTTGGTTGCTGAAGAGAATTGAAACATTGAAAAATAGGGAAAGACTTTAAGGGCATTGATCTCCTACAGATAGTTAGATACAGAAAAGAGCAGTTTTGAAAATAAAAATGGGAAAGGCTTAAGACAAACTTTGCCCAGCTAAAATTTTTTACTTGGTACCGAGCACAGGGAAAAAGAATAAAAAGCAGTATCATTGTGGAGTAGCAAGTAGAGAGGCAAGTTGGGGAAGGAAGACTAAGTCAACTAGAAAAGGATATAAACAGTAATCAGCTCTCTCAATGACCAGCCAGGCACGCGGACGTTTTATTCTTTGATTATAGTCTCTCATGTCTAACGTACCTTGGAGCTTTAACTTGCCCATCTAAACACATGATAAATGTAGCTAAATTATTCCCTCATGCCTTTTTAGAAATATATATTGATAATCAGAGGCAGATAAATAAAAAAATCTGCTAAGATTGGTAGGACTTTGTAGTGGGAGAAAGGAGGCTGCCTATTGGTTCCTGGCTGCTCAGCTAGCTTAGACCCAAAATAATCACACAGAAACTGTATTAATTAAATCATTGCTTGGCCCATTAACTCTAGCTTCTTATTGGCTAATCTTTTACATAATAATTTAGCCCATTTCTATTAATCTGTGTATTTCCACATGACAGTGGCTTACTGGCTAAAGTTCCCAGCGCCTGTCTCCATCGGCTCCATGGCATCTCTTTAACTTCACCCCTTTTTCTCCCAGCATACAGCCTAGCTTTCCCCACCTAGTTTTGTTCTTCCCTGCCATAGGCTCAAAGCAGTTCTTTATTCATTAACCAATAAAAGCAACATACAGACAGAAGGACCTCCCACACCAGGACTTCACTATAGGGGCTGGAGAGGTGGATCAGTGGTTGATAGTTGAGATACATTCATGCTTCATGTAGGAAATAGCAAGCAATGGACAGAAGAGAAATCTACAAGTAGGGAAACAAGCAGTATTGAAGAAAATAGCAGTTATAAAATAGAGCTCATTGTCAGCCAAAGTAAAGCAAAATAGGTTAACTGGAGTACAAAGTATCATAGTATTGGTTGGAAAGTTTATAGCAATAAAGAATTGGTAAATTAGATCCTGGTTTTTACCCTGTTTAGTAAAATTAAGCATCACGTGTACTAGCCTCTCCCTTTCTTTGCCCATGTTCTATTGCTTTAATCATCTCCCAGGTTGTGAAGAAAACTCTCATATGTTCACCAGATCCTTAAAGATTAGGATATTTTCTGTGTTCTCATCATTTTGCTTACTACTATATAATCTGTGGGTATCCCTTCTATATTTGAAAATGTATTTGATCTTGTAATCAATAAGGTGGCTTGATAAAGTGTATTCAATGATTGACAAGGAAATAAATCTCTGATATCTACTTCCTTTTAAAAAATCTTTTAAAAATTTATTTAACTTATTTTTTATGCGTATGAGTGTTTTGCCTGTGTGTGTGTGTATGTGTGTGTGTGTGTACACCATAAGTGTGCCTGATGCCCACAGAGGTTAGGAGAGAGCATCGGATCCCCTGGAAATGGTGTTACAGGTGGTTGTGAGCTACCACATGGGTGCTGGGAACTGAGTTCGGGTCTTCCACAGGAGCAACAAGACTCTTAACCTCTGAACCATCTGTCTTGCTTCCTGCCTTCTTTCTCAATTCAACAAAATAATCAATACAAAAATTTCAGATATTGTAAGAGTTTCACGTAGGAAAACAAATTTGGAGAAGAGTCAAGGATTTTCAAAACATAATGTAGGAAGCTCCCTGCTTTATTTGTACTAAACTAAGCCTGGCTCTAAATGTACTTGATTTAATTTAATGGTTTCATGAACATTCTGCAAAGCAGGCTGCTTGTTAATGACATCATACATTCCAGCACATCTACTCATGTCTCCTGGACTCCATTTGGAAGTCTCACTTTCCCCACCTCCCCGAGACAGGGTTTCTCTGTGTAGCCCTGGCTGTCTTGGAATTTGCTCATTAGATTAAGTTTACCTTGGACTCAGAGATCCGCCTGCCTCTGACTCCAAGATGCTGGATTTGGAAATCTCAGTCTTAGTCTTAATGTACAAAAGTAGACTTGTGCTTTCTCCAGCAGCAACATTTTCTCTTACATCACCATCCAGCTTTCTTCTTTCTTTCCTTCCTTCTTTCCTTCCTTCCTTCCTTCCTTCCTTCCTTCCTTCCTTCCTTCCTTCCTTCCTTCCTCCCTCACTCCCTCCCTCCCTTCTTTCTTCCTTTTTTCTGTTTTGATTTTTGTTTTCCAAGACAGGGTTTCTCTGTAGCTTAGGAGCCTGTCCTGGAAACTAGCTCTTGTAGACCAGGCTGGCCTCGAACTCACAGAGATCAGTCTGCCTCTGCCTCCAGATTGCTGGGATTAAAGGCATGCGCCACCACTGCCCGGCTCAGTTTTCTTCATCTCATAATCGGCTCCAAGTTCCTTAGCTGCTCAACCCAGAACTTTGAGAGTCATCCTTAATTCTTGTGTTTTCCCCCAACTTCACAGCTATCAGTAAACCAGCTTGAACTTGCAAATGTCTTTTGTGGGAGTGGACTCTCTTTTCCACTGTGTGGGGCCTGTGATGAGGTTGTCCTGTGATATTTTCATCAGGCTTACCAGCAAGAACCTTGACCTGCTGAGCTATGTCAACAGCCCACAGATATTTAACTGACCTTTCCTTCCCACTGTTAGTGCCCTTGCTCAGTCCGGAGCATTGGTCTTCAGTTATTTCCACAGTCCAATATTCCATAAATTTTTCTCACCTTGTAAAACTTTTATGCAAATCATCTAATCTCCTCCACCAGGTAAGACTTTGGTTTACAAAAAGACCCCACTGCACTCCCCGAATGTGATGGTCTGGAACAGCTGGCATCTTCCTCCATTTTCTTTGCTCTGGTTCTTTTAAGACTGGATGACTGAGAAAGTCATCCCACGTGTGAACTTCCTGTCTTGGGGTGCTTCTTAGCCTGGTTTGAGTTCTGGAGCACTCTATTCGCAAAAGGCAATTGCCTTCGTCAATTGCTGCTCTCACTCTGTTCCCATGTTCCTCTGCGTGACACAGAGATGCGTTTTCTTCTTTTGAAATGTGAGGTGTGCAACTCGTTTCTCCTAGATCATATTTTTAGGCATTAGGCTTAAAAAGACTTACATTCGAGTGATCTTTCTCAACTCCTTGGGGGCAAAAAAAATCTTTGTTGAAAATCCCTTCTGATATGTTTCCTTCTGTTTTAAACTTTTTACTATCCATCAAACAAAGTTATTAATTTGCATCTTGGGCTGACTCTCTAAAGCATTAAAAAATTAACTTCTGATGATACTTTTTCAAGTTCTACTCCAGACATATATGATTTCTTTATGGATCCTATTCTTTTGTTTTGTTTTTGTTTTTTGAGACAGGGTTTCTCTGTAGCTTTGAAATCTGTCCTGAAACTAGCTCTTGTAGACCAGGTTGGCCTTGAACTCACAGAAATCCGCCTGCTTCTGCCTCTGGGAGTGCTAGGATTAAAGGCGTGTGCCACTACAGCCTGGCGTGGATTCTGTTTTTTATGAGTGATTTGTTCCATCATGTTCCTGAATATCTCAGTGTGAAAAGAGTCCGTTTGCATTCTTTTTAGCATCCAGCGAGGATTACTTCCATCCCACCCTACAGAAGTCATTTGGTATCTGAGCCTGCCATGACTGCCTTTGGAAGTAGGAGAGTCTGCAAAGACTGTGCCGTCACGCTGTCCCTGCTTTTTAGGACGGACAACTGACAGACACTAAGTTTGAAAATCTCACTTCCTCTTATCTTTATTTTTGATTTTTTTTGAGGTAGAATCTTACCACATAGACCAGGCTCAAGTTGCTTAGCTGCCCCTTGGTGGAATTCCCAGCATGTGTCCCTTTTGTGTGCTGTATTAGTCAGGCTTCACTGGGGAAACAGAACTTAGAGAATGACTCTCTCTATATATAAACACAAGGAATTTGTTAGAATGACTAAAAGGCTGTGGTCCAGCTAATCCAATAATGGCTGGCTAGGAACAGAAAGCCCAAGAATCCAGTAGTCTCAGCTGGTCTTCAGAAGATAGTGGAATTTCTAAGTAGGCTCTAATGCCACTGAAGGCATGGCAAAGAGCAAACACTTCTTTCTTCCACATCATTATACAGGCTTTCAGCAGAAGGGGTGGTCCAGATTAGAGGTGGGTTTTCCCAACTCAAATGATCTAGATCGCTCAAAGTTCCTGATTAGAAGTTGATCTTCCTACTTCAAATTAAGCAAAATCCCTCACAAGTGTACCTTCCATTTTGGGGTTTTTAGTTTATTTCAGATGTTGCCAAGTTGACCACTGTTTCAGGGTTTCTATCGCTGTGACAAAACACCATGGCCAAAAACAAGCTGGGGAGGAAAGGGTTTATTAGGTTTGCACTTCAGCATGGCTGTTCACCACTGAAGGAAGTCAGGACAAGAACTAAAAGGGCAGGATCCTGGGGGCAGGAGCAGATGCAGAGGTCATGGAGCGATATTGCTTACTGGCTTGCTTCCCATGGCTTGCTCAGCCCACCTTCTTATAGAACCCAGGACCAGCAATTCAGGGATGGCACCACCCACCATGGACTGGGCTCTCCCCTATTGATTACTGAATGAAAAAAAAAAGGCTATAGCTAGATTTCAAGGAGCCATTTCCTCAGCTGAGGCTCCTTCCTCTGATGACTCTAACTTAAGTCAAGCTGACACACAAAACCACCCAATACAACCACCAGAAATGGCCATCACGTAAAACTGTGGTGTTTTGAATAAAAATGACCCCCATCGGCCCAGAGGGAGTGGTACTATTAGGAGGTGTGGCCTTGTTGGAGGAAGTGTGTCTGGCTTTGGGGTTTTAGAAGCTCAAGCCAGGCCTAGTGGCTCACACTGGTTCTTCCTGCTGTCTGCTGGTCTAGATGTAGAACTCTCAGTTACCACTCCAGCACCATGTCTGCCTGTGTCCCACCATGCATCCTCCCATGCTTCCTGACTTGAAAATGGACTAAATCTCGGAACTGTACCAGGCCCAATTAAATGCTTTCCTTTATAGAAGTTGTGGTAGTCTTGGTGTCTCCACATAGCAACAGCGACCCTAAGAATAAGCCTTTTATTTTTATTGTACATTTATATTTCATTTTATTTTGGAACAAGGTCTCTCTGGTGGTTGGAGTGAGAATGGCCCTGTAGGCTCACATGTTTGACTGTTTGGGCCTCAGTTAGTGGAACTGTTTGGGAAGGATTAGGGGGCATGGCTTTATTGGAAGGCGTGTCATTGTGGGCAGGCTTGAGGTTTCAAAAGACTTGCCCCATCCCTAGTGTTTTCTCTGCCTTCTGCTTTTGGATCAAGATGTGAGCCCGCAGCCTTCATGGACTCTAACCCTCTGTGATTGCTATTCTTTTCTGATAACTTGGCTATATCTGAAATTAACTAAGATGCAAAAAATTGGGCATACCTGTGTGGAATTTTTACTTAATTTGAAGTGAGAAGCTCCAC